GTCATCCCAGGACTTGGGAGGCTGAGGCAGGAGGATCACCATGAGTTTGAGGCCAGCCTGGGCTCCATGGTGAGACCCTGCCTCAAAAAAACACACACAAAACAAAGCCACTTTGAGACTCTGAGATTCCACCTTACTCCTGTCAGGATGGCCACCATCCAGAACTCTAAAACAATTGCTGACAGACTAGGGGCAAAAAGAATCCTTATGTGGACGGCAGCAGCGTAAATGAGTATAACCACGGTGAAGACCAGTATGGAATTCCTTAGAGGCCTGAGAACTGAAATCCCATTCGCCCCAGTTCCCCTTCTCCTGGGTATCTGGCTAACACAGCTGATGCTGTCCTGCTACAATGCCCCATGCAGACTGGGCTCCTGGCAGAGTGTGGCATGGTGGCCTTGTGCCACAGACAGCTGTGACCCCGCTGGATGCCTGGAGAAAGACACACGTGTGCAGTGCAGTCTGTGCCAGCCCTAGGGAGACATGACTGGTGTCGCCCGCAGGAAAATGTTTGACTCAAGACCATGAAGCTAAGTGAAATAAGCCATACCCAGAAATACTATCATGTGGCTTCTTTGATGTGAGAAGCCCAAAACAGAAATAGAGTAAAAAAAAAGGGGGAGACGACAGGAAGCAAGGAGACAGAGCTCTGGGGATGAGGGAGGGTGTCAGGGGGAGGAAGGCATTGAAGACGACAAACAGGACACACTGGAGCACCAAGTCCCTGGAACAAACGGAAAGATTCTGTATGGTAAATACATACCAGAAACAAACAGAAAAGATTCCCTTAAAAAATGAACTCTATAATTAACCAAGCTAGCATAACAGTAATTGTAATGTCACATTAGGAAATAATAGACTTAAGTGGATAAAACCACGTTTTACAATGAAAACAAAACAAAAACTAACAAAGAGCTCAATGACGAACACCATCCACTTGCAGTCTGCCTGATCTGATCCTAAAGTGTGGATGGTGATCTAATATTTGGATGAAGTCACAAGCACCTAAGAAGCCCAGGGTACCACCCCTGTCTTCACTGTGCTGCCATGGTAACAGGAAAGGTGGTGCCTGATTCATGCAGACATAAACAGTACCACTAGCCCAAAAACAAACACAGCTGAGGAAGAGACTACGCAGAACCTTGGGACAAAGGAAGGACCTTCAGAAGACTGGTCAAAAATGCAAGGCTGGCATGGTGGTTCACACCTGTAATCCTACCACTCTGGAGGCTAAGGCACAGAACTGTTGTGAGATGGAGGACAGCCTGGGCTATACAATGAGACCCTGTCTCACAAAACAAAAAAATAAAAATAAAGATAGGTAGGTATTTAGGTCCTAGGGATTGAACCAAGAGCCTTGAGTATGCTACACAAGAGCTCTACCACTGAGCTATACCGCCAATCCAAAGCAAGAAGATTTAAAGATTTTCAGATACTTTAGTTTATGCTTCACCTTAACACTTAGTCATGTCAGACGGAAGCATAAAAAACAGTCTGTTAGACAGTGTGCTCACTGTCACTCCTGCTAAACCAGCACAGTCCTTCAGAAGCAGTGGAGACCTGCAGCCTGGAACGACTGGAATTCTTCCCCGGCAGTCATCTCCCCAGGGGCTGCTGGTGGGTAGTTAAGGTCACAAGGCATCTGAGATGAGATACCATCCTTTCCTCTAACACCTTCTAAATAATGAGATAACCAGCTAGGCCCTGGCAAGACCTGAACTGATAGGACAAAGAGACCAAGTTTCAACCAGGCATGGTGGTGCACACCTGTAGTCCAGTCCCAACATTTGGGAGGTGGAGGCAGGAGGATCAGCAAGTGACTCAGGCCAGCCTGGGCTATATAATTCAAGATCAGCTTAAACTTAAAAAAAAAAAAAAAAAAAAAATCAGCCTGAGATACATAGCAAGACCCTGTCTGGGGGGCGGGGGAGAGACAGACTGAGAGACCAATTTCTCATACTTATGTGGGCGTGTAAGCAACCACAGTGCAAGGAAACTGTTGAGAAAAGACTTGTACCATGTTGCCACTGTAACTCTGAAAACCATGTTACAGTGGTTCAGAAAGTGGTACTGCCGCGCTGGGGATTTAGCTCAGTGGCATAAGCGTCTGCCTGGCAAGTGTGAGGTCATGAGTTTGATCCCCAGTAGCAATTAAAAAAAAAAAAAAGGTGGCACTGCCCTGCCTGGTTACAATCTGCTGATAAGCCTCTGTGTGCCACCATCATAAAGAGAAGCAAGTGTCAGTGTGACAGCCCACATCTGTAATCCTAGCAACCGAGAAGATGAGGCAGGAGAATTGCTGAGGGTTCAAGGCCAGGCTGAACTACATAGTGAGATCCTATCTAAAAAAAAAAAAAAAAAGAAAGAAAGAAAGAAAGAAAGAAAGAAAAGTGAAGAGAAAAAAAAAGCTATTTATGAATAGCAAAACTATAGATTACTTCAAGCTACCAACTCAAGTTCAAAATATTCAATATTGTAACACAGGGCCTGTAACAACACAAACTCACTAACAGCTCCAAGCTAAGCACTGCTCCAGGCACTAGTACTGAAAAATACATTTTAAATAAGATAACCCAGACCAGCAGCAAAAAAATAAAGCTTGACTAATCTTATGCTTTTTGCTTTTTGTTTTTGTTTTTTTTTTTTTGGGGGGGGGTGTGTCACTGTGTAGCCCAGGCTGGCCTTGAATTCATGGCAGTTTTTCTGCCTCAGCCTTCAAAGTGCTGAAAACTTTATGATTTTTATCAGACACACACACACACACACACACACACACATATACATATGTATGTATATGTATTATAAAGCCTATATTTTTTTCACAGATATTGAATAACAATACGTGATTTTTTATGATTATACCACTCAGTGCTCCTTGAAATTTGAAATGGCTCAGTCCAAAAACTTTACCAGGAAGGCACTTATGCTGATGAGCTAAATCCCAGGCCTCAAAACTTTACTATTAAGAAATATACATGCCAATGGGCAAAATGTTATTACTACAACAGTCAGGATAAGAGATTTATTATTAAGGCTTCTGGGACGCTAATGGTGTTTTATCTTAGTGGGTAGTTGTTTTACAAATATGATATTCATTTTACAAAAGTAAACAAATTGTACACTTATATGACTTTTTAAATGATATATTCCATAATGAACAATACTGATTGAAAGTGGGGTAGGGAGATCTCACTGAACAACATTCCCAGCCTTTTAAAAATTTTTTAAAAAATATTTTGAGACAGGGTTTTACTAAGTCATTTAACTGCCCAAGCTAGACTTAAATTTGTGATCCTCTTGCCTCAACTTCCACTGGTGTTGACAGGTATACATCTCTACACCTGGCTCTGATATTATTTTTCAAATATACACCCTTTAGGCTGGTTGTGGTGGTACACACCTATAATCCCAGCTCTCAGGAGGCTGAGGTAGGAGGATCACAAGTTTGAGACCAGCCTCAGCTAGTGAGTTGAAGGTTAGCCTTCACTACATAGTGAAGCCCTGTCTTTTAAAAAAAAAAAAAAAAAAAAAAAAAAAAAAAAAAAAAAAAATATATATATATATATATATATATATATGTATATAAATAAAATAAAATTCTTTTTGGTCAGTTTACAGAAAGTCAAAAGAAAAAAATGTTACTGAAATAATTACTCAACAGTACAGTTACTATCTAAAAAGTAATTTCATGTGGGTTAAATTTTTAGGATCAAATATCATAATTTTGATCACTGGTCAAGACTTTGTAGTAATAACCAGATTTAACATGGTGTGGCTTTGTCTCTACTACAGACAGATACACAGTGTATCTCCAAATACATTATTCCCTAAAAAGTAACTTTCTCCTGTTGCCTGCAAAATAGTCCATAAAGAAAACTCATAGATACTAATTTTATTGCAGAAGTTTTCTGGTTATTGGTTATTTGAGTCTATATAAGTACCATGCTTCTTGAATGATTTGAAAGTTATTATCATGTGTATACATCTCATCACAATCACTGTGGTACACTTACAAAAAAGAAAGTGTATTGTGCCAGGAATTGTACACTTGTAATCCCAGCACCTGGGAGGCTGAGGCAGAAAGATCACCTTGACTTTGAGGCCAGCCTGGGCTACATTAAGATACTCTGTCTTTAAAAAACAAACAAACTTGTGCTGTTGAAACAAAACAAAGCAAAACAATCACCCCTTCCTGTTCCCCTAACCTTTGTACTTGATGTTTCTCTACTCTGGACCACTATTTTGCAAACTTTGGTCCTTTTTGTTGTTCATCTCTGTCTCTTTTTGAGATGAGGTCTCTGTTGCCCATCTGGGCTCAAATTCATGGGCACAAGGGATCCTCCGGCCTCAGCATCTTGAATAGCTGTGACTACAGGTACCTGCCACCACACCTGCTTATCCAAATCCCAATGCAAACATCCCTTCCCAGAGGGATGTACAGAGACTTGAGACAATATGGCACCATGGCAGCAAAAACAGGAGCCAGTCTGTTGGACTCCCTAACTGTAGATGAAGGGAAGGAGAAACTCATGGGATGGAATTTAAAGGGGGAAATAAATATATTGCAACCAATTATATAATTATGTATCTGAGATACTCTAAGGAAATAAATTTGAAAAGAAATAACTAACACTTGTAACTATATACCGTTTCAGTGTTTAAAACAAAAACAACACCTATTTTAAACATTTTAAAGATGTAAACCTGCACTGAAATCCAAAATCCAGATAAGGGCAGATTGCTTTCTTGTTATGTGCCCACAAGAGTGGTTTTTTCTTCTTCTTTTTTAAGTTTTAGAGCAAAAGTCTCATTATGTAGTTCCGGACTGTCTTGAACTCACTAGGGAGCCCAGACTGGCCTTGAACTCGCAACAATCCTCCTGCCTCAGTCTCCTGACAGCAGCTATTTTTCTAGTGCACATTTTCATTTATTACTTAACCTGTGGACTCATTTCATTTATAACTTAAATATTTACCAACCTTTACCAACACGGTACTTACCTTCTTAGCGACGGGACACCCCTGAGAACTTTTTCCTTCTTTTCCTGTGTACACAAGTTTTTCTATCCTTACTGCCTTTCCTTTGTGGCCGCACCTGAGTATAAAAGACAGGGAAAGAACGCGCTCGTCAATCGCCATCCAGCCTCATCACATGTAGCTTTTAACATCTACGTGCACATCACAGAAGTGAACACGAGTTCAAAAAAAGGAAACACTCTTCGACATTTCCTTTGGTTAACTTGCTTTTGTGTGACCGTTATTTTTGTTATCCAGTTTAGTTTACTCTCTTTAAAGATCACTTTTAAAAACAGCCTGGCTTCAGGACGAGTAGGGGATTATGTGATTCGCAGGGGGGTGGGGCGGGATCTGAACAGTCTCTCCCATTAGATGATCAAATATATAAGTAAGGTTCCTAAGCAGTTTGGAGACTAGCCTCGCCAAGACGCGGCCACTCCTGCGCCTGCGCCTGCGCCTGCTTCTGCGCCTGCGCCCTGAGAAAGGCGGGTGCAGCGCCTGCAGGCTTTTTTCTCCATCCGGGTCACACCATCCCCAGAGAGACTCGCTCTGCAGGGTCAGGTTCATGATAAAGAAGGGTTTTAACAGGGACGCGCATCTCCTCACCTAGTCTCCATGATTTCCCTGACAGCAGCAACACTTGGTCCTGCCCCCAGGTGTGTATAATATGGGCCTTTGTCTTTTTGTATCCCTCGATCTGTGGAAGGAACAAGATTATTAGACCCAAAGCTTTACAAAAGTGCATAGGGGCAAGGAAGAGCTATTTTTATTTTTTTCTGGTACGGGGGATCAAACTCATGACCTCGCGCTTGCCAGGTGGGCATTTATGCTCCTGAGCTAAATCCCCAGCACCAGAAGAGCTATTTTTATTTTTTAAATTAAAAAAAAATATTTTAGAACAATGAATATTGACAAGGTTTTGCTTAACTTTGATAACTCAAGACAAGGACAATAGGTCCTTAATGTAATTTGCCTTCCTCCTCCTAATTCTACCTCCCAAGAATCAGAGGGGAAAAAAATATTTTAAGATATGGGTCATGTTTATTTTCTTATCTCCTGCTTCAAATTTTGGTTATCACTGAGGTACAAATTAACTTATCCAAGACCAACAGATGTGAAAAGTTTGGCCGCAGAATTCTACTAAAATTGAGCCCAGAAATTTCACTGTTGAGAATTTATTTTACTGTGTACTTGTACAATTATATATTTATAATGTAAATATACAAGAATGTTCGTTGTTACAATTACTTGTAGCATCAAAAAAGACGAGCAATCTTAAGATGTCAAAAAGTGAAAACATATAAATTACAGGCAGTTTATATAGTGGAATACCAGAAAGTTCCTGAAATAGTTTAAATCTAGAATTTCACTAAGCTGAAGAGGCAAAGTTGTGAAAATACTGTTTTATCTAGTGAGTCAAAAAGTTTTTTTAGAAAATATTTTTGGTTTTTTGAGAGAGACTTGCTATGTAATTCAGGCTGACCTTGAATTCACTGTGTAGCCCAGGCTTGACTTGATCTTCCTGCTTCAGCCTCTAAAGTGCTCACAGGCATGGATCTATAAAAATGCTGGTCATATACTGATTGTATTGCAAAAATACTGTTATAAAAGACTGTATTTACTCATATGGAAAAGTGTGAGAGGGGCTTTTCTTGAAAGAAGGGGAAGACAATGGCAAGATGTCTATTATTTCTATACCATTGGAGGGTTTGTGAACCAGAATGACACATTACTTGAAAAACAAGTACCTTTATCATCTGTATTTTAGGCATTTCCAGCTATGCTCAGGCTACAACAACCTCATTAATCATTCTGAGTAGAGATAAAACACAGCACAGTAGAAACTTACTGTGTTTCTGAGGCTTCTGAATCAAGGGCTCTTAAAGCAATTTAAACTATTTGGTGGCATACAGCATTGGTATTGTACTGGTGCTCCACAGTGGGGCTGACATCAACCTAGGGACATCTGACAACACCTGAAGGCCTCCTCAAGTCATGACACTGCAGTAGGCTGTGTGTGCAGTACTACTAGCACATAGTGGGTAGAGGTTGGGGTGGCACACCTCCCCTCCCATGCACAGAGAATCACTGGGTCTACAATGCCGACAGTGCTAAATTTGAGGAACACCAAGATGGGTAAGATTGATTTTTCGGTTTTGCTAGAACACAATACACACTCCAGAATGCCTCAGTCCTTGAATATGAGGCTTCTGGGGGAGAGAGGTGATTTCTAGGTGTGTCTTTAAATTTCTGTCTTTCACATGAGCACAGTAACCTCACATTTCACGATTAAAGACACGTAACTGACAGTGTATAAAACCATTCTGGGTATATTACACAAATCTGATCATCTCAGAACCTAGCTGTCCTACCTCCTACCCAATGGAACTAGTTATCTGGAATGAGGAAAGGATCTTTGATTTAGTAGTGGTGGGAGTACATAGGAACCGAACCCTGGGCCTCTGCACTGAGCTATGTCCCCAGCCCTTTTTAAAATTTTGAGACAGGTTCTCAGAGTCTCTCATTCTGGGCTCAAACTTGTGATCCTCCTGCCTCAGCTTCCTAGAGCACAAGGATTTCAGGCAGTTGTTCTGCCTGGCTAGACTTCAGAGTTTGGAAGCAACAGAGAGTAGAGGTTACAAGCACAGAATACCTATCTCCCAGTCTCATACTGGCTGTGAGCATCTGTGTCTCAGTTTCTTTATTTGTAACCCAGGGATACTAGGCATAATAAGCCCTCCCTTGCACACAGCAAGCCAAAGGCTCAGTGTAGTGCATGACATATAGTAAAAACCATTATCCTTGCTCCTGCTTCTATCTCTGGCCTAAGAACTCACTTCCCCAATTCATCTCCCCATCACCTTTCGCAAATGCTGTGATCCTCCCCTAAAGGTCAGTCCTTGGTGCCTGGAGTGTTTCAATGAACCACCAACTTACAGACAAAAAGACCAAGACTTGTTCAAATCAAATCTTGAATTTTTTATGATTTGGGCCATATTTTAGTGAGGCTTTAAATTATTAAGCCTATAAACTATAAATCCCATACTACAACTGTATAATAGTATAATAATAGATGAGGCTTTTAAGAACAGATAAAACTAGTTGTTAGTTCTAGGTGTTCTCTCACTCACTTCTAAAAAAAACAAACAAATACATCAGTCACAAATTGGCCCGTGACTCACCCGTTAACACAAAACCTATTTGTTGTTTTGTTGAAAGTAAATCATTTATTTCTTTTTTGAGGCATAGTCACAGATGGTCTTAAACTTACTATGTATCCTAGGCTGGCCTCAAACTCATGCTGGTATTAAAAACAAAATAAAACCAAAAACCCAAGGCACTGTTCTAGCTCTGGTATGAAAATTATATACTGTCTATGATTGTTTGCTGAATTGTGCACATGTTTTAGAGTCTCTATACATTTTCTATTGCAATTAAACATTTTTACCAAAATCCTAATAGCTTAAAATTCTTTTCACATACAAGGATAATGAAGTATTAGTAGAGTTCATCCTTTCACTATAACAATATATAATTTGAGACCGGCTGCTCTGAGACAAATCAGCTATTTTCCACCAAAAAAAATTTACCTTTGTTTTTCCAAATTATGAGATGAAATTTCCATTTATCTGAGTAGAATGAATAAAGATCCACCAGAAAAAATGCGTAAAGAATTACTTAGTCTGTCTTAGCTAGAATAAGAATGGGGTAAAAATACCACAAAAGATGAATCACAACTTGATTCTGTCATTCATGCAGGTGAAAGAACAAATCCACCCAGGCACTTACCAGGACAGTCGCAGGATGGCACTTCCGTATCTTTTGTGGCAGCCAGTAAGTTTTTGGCAGGGTCACTGAGGAACTTCATGGCATAATGGTGAAAACTGTTCTGTGCACTGTCTATAGGGGAAAATTCAGATGTGCCAATACCAGGTGAACAGACTTCCTCTTCACTTTTTGTGGAAACCACTGTAATTCCGCCTGAACTCACTACGTTCACGTTCCTGAGAATTTGTGCAGGGTCTGGCAAGGGGATCTCGGGGGAGACGGCGGGTGGTGCTGCCAGTCTCTGTGGCACGAGGTGCTCTTGGGCATCCTGTGGAAACCGTGTTTGGTCACTGCCGGCCACCAGGTTAGCACACTGGTTAGGTAGACAGGAGGGGGCGGGCAAAGGGTGAGCTTTCAGGTTGCCGTTGACTGTTGCTGGTACCTGAGAAATGGGGGCTTTATCTGCATACACCTGCCTGTGAGAATTCGTCTCAACATGAAACACTGGAAGCGAATCCAATGGTTCAACTTTCACCGTCTTCTCCTGCGCTAATTCAGAGTTTCGCTCAAATTTGATCTGACTGAGGGGAGGAAATAATTTCTTGTGTTGTAGGGTTGTACTGGTTTGAGCCAATGGTTTCAAAACTTTGGATAAAGGAGGAATTTTTCCCAAAAGAAGAGGAAAATCATGTGGACCAAACTGACCAAATCTTTGAAATTTGGATGCAATCCAAATGTCATGTAACTTACTATACTGATAGGACAACCGCTCCTGCTGCTTCTGATCATTTTCTTGACAGGTTACGATGGCAGGCTTCTTCTTCCGCCGATCTCTTGTTGGGATAGACTTGGCCTTTTTTTGGGTTGTGTTCTTTTGCTTTGCTACCAATAAGCCATGATTGCTTTGTCTATTTGGAGATGGCTTCTGTGGCATGGTACCCTTCTCCTGATTATGCTTTTGCTGTGTATTATGGGTGACAAGGCTTGTTGGTGGACTCTCGACATTATTGTCCTCTGCTTTTATATAATTGCATTTAATTATTGATGCAAGTTGTGTTAATTGTGTTGCAACATCTTCCTCGATTTGGCTGTAAGATGTGTCCTGACTTAATGAATCTTCCTTGGAATTCAAATTTTTGTTATTGTCCAGCATTTGATTACAGTATCCCAATTTATTACTTGCTGGTGACAACTGATACAAACTCTGAGAACCATCAAGACCATCCCTACTTCTGGTGACACTTTTACTAGTATTGATTTTTGATGAATGGGATTTTGGTATTAAAAGAGATACAGAATTTTTGACTTTTGAGTGTTCAGGTGGCTTTGTGGGTACCTGGTTAGCAGCAGGGCCGATCTGCGGCTTGGGCAGGGTGTTGTGGCCATTGAACACCGCTGTGGGGCGCAAACTTTGCTTTTCCAAAGATGGACACTGAGGAATGCTTTGTGGCTCTCTGTGGCAGTTTGGGTCTCGTAGGTCTTTTCTTACAGAATAGAGGATGGCTTTGCAACTGTTAAGCAAACTAGCTGTTTTCTGAACTGTCTCTTCTTCCTTCTGTGACTTGGATGGTGAGGTGTTCTCTGATGGGGCTTCGGAGAGTTGCGTCAGGGCCTCGATGGCGACCACTTGCTCCAAAGTTAACCTCCGGTCTTTCATGAGGGAGAGGAGAGTGGGCTGCATGGTGGAGTCATCTCTCAGCTCTTTAGTCACTCTGTCCTCGGGGACTTTAGGCTGGTCACCTTTACTGTGTGTATGTAACTGACTGTTCAAGTTTGGAGAATCTTCGGATTTGCAATTAAAGCCAGGCTTTTGGAAGACAAAGATGTTCCTCTTGTCCTTGAGGTGATCAGAGCTTGTACTAGAGACTGTGGAGCTCATGGCATTATTATGGTTCGCAGTGTCTTTCAGGAGTTTGTAGGGATGGTTTCCCAGCGCCTTGCCAAATTCTTCAATACTGAATTTGTTAAATGGTACATTTGCTTCAGCTGATAAACAGGGTACATTTTTAATGCCATTTTTTACTGTTTGTGCAAACAATTTTGCAGGCTTCGTTTGTTTCTTGTCATCTGCAGGCTGTTTTGATTTTTCAGTTTTGGTGACATTTGCACTGAAGTCCCCATTGACATGTTCAGCTAAATGTGATTTCTTGTTCTGCGTCCACTTCTCTACCTCGATACCTGTCATCTTTTCTTCATTTTTTGTTACATTTTCAAGAGGCTGTGTGTTGAGTTCCAATCTTTGTTCTTCCCCATGACCACCGCTACTGTATTCCATGGATTCTGACTTGAGGCCATTTACTGGTTTGTTGTCAAAATCTGCCTGTAAAATAAATCCAGAAATCACTCATCTACTTAAATATCCAAATAAGAATCATAGAAACTAAGTTGAGTAGCAATTGAATAAATGTGAAGTCTGCGGATTCAACCCAGAACATTTATTTTTTCAAATTCAATATTTTTTGAGAATTCAAAAAAATACTAAAAAGTGAAGTATAGAATAAAAGGAAAATGAGGAGAACCTATTTGAATCCTACACTTATTGGTATTTTGGTCTACTCATTGTTTTCCCAAGTTAATGTAAGAAAAAAAATTGGTGGGGGGGGTGGTTTTTGTTTTTTGAGACAGGGTCTCGCTATATAGTCCATGTTGGCCTTGAACTTGCAGATTCTCCTGCTTTAGTTTCCCAATAGCTGGAATTATAGGTGTGTGCCTCCAGGCTTGGATATTTTTTACATCAGAATCATTAAGTAGGCAATATCTATCATTTAAACATGAATTCTACTGAAGTACAGCACGTATACACAAAGTGCACAAATCCCAATTGTATAGTTTGTTGAGTTTCTGCCAAATGAATTCTTGTGTACCCAGATCACAGCATAAACTCCTGTGTTCTGTTCACAAGTGGAGGGGTAGCCACTGTCCCAGAATCTAACATTATAGATTTCTCATGCTTTTTTTTTGGGGGGGGGGGCGGGGATTGATCTCATGACCTTGAGCTTGGAAGGCAGGCACTTATGCCACTGAGCTAAATCCCTGGCCCTCTCATGCTTATTTTCAAAACCAACTTCTCTGTCTGGAAATTACAGTTGTGAAAGAGGTCTATCTTGGTCCGTTGATACTTGGTGATCAGTTCTCTCTTAATCTATTCTACTGAGATGGGAGTTTTCATTTATTTTTAGGTTTCAGCTAACGTAAGTATACAGCTATAATGTGCTAGTGCTTTTATTGGACACACACACACATACTAGGTGATAAAGTGTACATATGGGGGCATGATAAAAAATTCGGTGCATGTTTAAATTTTTTCTTTTTGAGATAAGAGTTTCACTATGTAGTCCAGACTAGCCTTAAACCTTCAACAATCCACCTGCCTCAGCCTCCTGAATACTGGAATTACAGGTGTGCATGAGCACACCCAGCCAAAAAAAAAAAGAGAAAGACACATTGCTATTGACTTCCTTTAAAAATGACTCTCCCCCACAAAAGAAGGAAAGGAAAAGTAATGAGAAAAGGAAAAAATGGAAACAAGGCTTTTGTAAATAAGGAAGGGAAAAAATAAGAAGGAAGAGGATTTAAAGGGAGAGTAGGAGAATGGGGGGAAAAAAGAATCAAGTTATATCATGTACAGGTACAAATTCCCTATAATGAATTTAATCGTTATGTATACCTAAAACATAACAATAAAAATCATTTTCTTTGGAGACCAGCCTGGGCTACAAAGTGAGCCGAAGGCCGGCCTGAACTACATAGAAGAAAAAAGAGATAAACAAAATGATTTTTTTTTTTTTTTAGATAGGGTTTCACTATGCACTTCAGGGGTGACTTTGAACTCACTTTGTAGCCCAGACTTTACGCAAACTTGAAGCAATCTTGCCTCAGCCTCCCAAGTACTGGGATTATAGGTATGTACCACCATGTGCAGCCTAAAAATAATTTTCTTTGAAAAATAAAAAGTACACTACCCCACCCCACCTTTGAACACACTATCATTCTGACTACTTCCTGGAGCAGTTCTAGAAACTTTTTTCTAAGTGTCTTCAGTTGCCTTGTCCTGGTCGCCCCAGGATCTTGAACCAATTGAATAGTTTATCTTTCATGGTCATTCTGACTTTGAGGAAGAGCCAAAATGAAGAAGTCACATGGTGTCATATCCAGTGAAAATGGTAGATGAAAGCACACTGTAATGTTTTTGACATAAATTTCCATAAGTACTTTGAGTCAATTCAGAATACTGAAGCATGGATGAGAAGACACACAGGAAAGATGTCCAGAAAGTGGCAAGAACAATGGGATAGGTTTGTTCGAAGAGAGGAGAAAAATTTCTAAGAGTCAGGGCAATATCTTTCACTGTAATAAATTTTTTAAAATTTAGGCAGCTGAGGACTGGAGATTTAGCTCAGCAGTATAAGCGCCTGCCTTGCAAGCAGGGAGTCGTGAGTTCAATCCCCGGATCCGATAAAAAGGAAAAAGGCCAAAAAAAAAAAAAAAAAACTATATAAAAAAAAATTTAAGCGGCTGATCGTGATGGCACATGCCTGTAATCCTAGCACTCAGGAGGCTGAGCCAGGAGGACTGCAATGTAGATGCCAGCCTGGGCAATTTCTGAGACCTTGCTTCAAAACCAAAGGGGGGAAAAAGGTTCGGGGATATAGGTCAGCACTCCCTGGGTTCAGTCCCCATTACTACAAAACAAAAACAAAAGTAGAAAACCCTAGCATTTATAAAAATAAAGATTCAGTTGTTTAATAATGATATAAACTGGGCAGAGTGGTACACAAATGTAATCTTGCCACCCCAGGAGGCCAAGGAAGCAGGAGGGCAAGTTTAAACTCAGGCAAGGGAACCTATGGAGACAACAGATAAAGTCAAAATCAAAAAGGGCCGGAGATGCAGCTCAGTAGTAGAGCACTTTGCTTAGCATGCCTGAGGCCCTGGCGTTGGATCAAGCCACACCCATACCCATACCCATAACCCACTAGAAAGTCTGACCCAGCTTTAGCAACAAAAATAATAGATAATTTCAACACAAAGAGTTGTAAGAATTCTGGGCAAAGCAATTATTTTTTAATGAACATTAAAATTATTTTTTTTTATTTTGGTAAAAAGGATTTCTTCACATGGAAGGCTGTTTAAAATTAAACAATCAAGTTGCCAAAATAAGACAGTGTTTATTATTATAACTAGGCTTAGCAAATTATTTTTCTGTAAAAGGACAGAGAATAAAATATTGTGGGTTTTGTGGGCTGTACATCCCTGTCACAAGTATTACCATTTTATTAAGCAAGTAGCCACAGACAGTTTGCAAACAAATTAGTGTGGTCATGTTCCAATAACACACTATTTACGGACACTTAAATGTGACCTTCATATAACTCTGTATCACACATGTACACAGAGTCAAAATATAAGAAAAGCAAATGCCTAATATGGTGCACACCTATAATCCTAAGCTTCTGGGAGACTGAGATTCAGACCTAGCCTAAGCAATTTAGTGAGATTCTGTCTTCAAACATAAAAAAGGGTGAGGATGTTGCTCAATGCACAGACCATGGGTTCAATTGGCAGAATCAGAGGGGATTAAAAAAAAACATTCACAGCTCATGTAAAAGGTTACTATTACTAATGTGAACTGTGTGAGTCTCTACTGCAGTCTCAACAGAAGAATAAAAAGAAATAACCCACCTACATAGAAATCCAAATGGTTAAGTGTTCAGCTCTCTAGAAGACAAGCAAAAGAAAATGGCAACTTGCCACTTCCCAAGTGACATAAAGACGTGAAAATGTACTTTTAAAAACTGAAATGCAACTTAATATTTGTAATGGGGAATGTCTGTCCCTAATGTGGCCAGCGCACTGCAATGTGAGCCTGTGGTCCTTATTGATTTAAGACACAGAAACATCTGTCTAGTGCAAAAGAAAATCTGAGAGGATAAAACTAAAATGTCAGTAGTAGTTACCACTGGAAAATGGTATTGAAGAAAGGGAGAGTTTGAGGGTTGCAATTCATGCTTTTAATTCTATAGAAATGCAGTCTAGAGCACTGGAGTTGCATACATGCTCCTCTATGGAGAACTCGAGGTTCTCTGAAGAATTTTGTATCAGTCTAGATGGAGACAGTATGCTCTGAGGGAATTTCCTTTAATCAACAAGCTTCATAACAGCTACGCAGGCTCAGTGGTGCATGCCTGAAATCCCAGCACTCAGGAGGCTGAAACAGGAACACAGGATTTGAAACCAGGCTGGACTGACTACCTAGCAGAACTTTGTCTCAAAACAACAACAAACAGAAAAACAAAATAAGCTGAAATTTGTTACTCAGTTGTATGCTGCATCCATGTGTATGCTTGTATGCTGAGGACTGAACCTAGGAACTTCACATTGAGCTATACCTCCAGCCCTTTTTTCATATTTTGTTTTGAGGCAGGGTCTCACTAAGACCCTAAATTCTCTACACTAGACTGAAATGTGCAATCCTGCCTCCATCCCCCAGAGTGCGGGGACTGCAAGCTCACACCGTCATCCCTGGCTTTCAGCTGTATATCATGTCCTTAAAATAAAGGAGCGGGGGTTTCAGTGTGGTGCACACCTGTAATTCCAGGTACCTAGATGACTGAGACAAGGGGGTCTCAGGTTTGAGACTGGCTTGGACAATTTAGGGAGACCTTGTCTCAGAAAAAAATTTTATGAAAGAACTGGGGATCTAGCTCAGTGGTGAAGCGTTTCCCAGCATGCATGAGGCCCTGGTTTCAATTCCCGGCACTGCAATTGAAAAAAAAAGCTAAACGTGGTAGCACATGCCTGTAACTCTTGCACTTGGGGAGGCTTGAAGTGGGAAGATCACAAGTTTGAGTGCAGCCTGAACAATGCCAGGTGTGGTGGCGCACACCTGTAATCTCAGCATTCCAGGAGGCTGAGGCAGGAGGATAGCTGTGAGTTGTAAGCAAGCCTGGGCTACAAAGTGAGTTCAAGGGCAGCCTGAACTGCACATTGAAAGGGCCTCAAAAAGATAAACCCTCCCTCCAAAAAAAAAAAAACCCTGTCTGTAAAGAAAGAAATCAGGTAGGCAGGCAAACAAACTAGTGATACAGCTTAGTGCCAAGACTGTGGGTTGAATCCCAAGGAATGAGAGAAGCATGTACCACACATAGAAAAAGGGAAAAAAAACATAATGTCATAAACTCTTAACACAGAATGGGACACAGAGAATCCCAGAGATATTTATGTCCCTTCAGTAGTGACCCTCAGTCGCTGGGCATCATGGCTGATACACATCTGTTGTCACAGCACTTGGGATTGCTTTGAGGTCAAAAAACCAAAACT